TTTTTGGTCTCGGGGTTGAAGTAGAATTGCTCCTTTTTTCGAGCCCCACGTTGGGCGCCAATGTAATAATTATGAATGAGTATAACGCAGATTTATGATGTTCATACAATAATTATTATGTTTTTATTGAAACACACGTGGTTGATTAAATATTAGATCACAGTATTTTCTTTTTAAAATATTTATATTACTCAGTGGTGATTTGACATTAATCAAAAAACGTATAACAGGGAAAGATATTTGGAGAATATAGTTTTTTGACTCACGATGCTCCTGGGCTCTATCTTCCTGGGTACAGCTAGGCAGTGGTTGATACAGCGGTCGTCGGTAATGATTCCGATATTCGGACGGTCGATCGGCGGAGGTAGGTATGCTCGACGATCGACGATTAATAGTTAGTTATTGTAATACGGCGGCGTGCGTGCGTGTGTGTACGACGTTCGTAAATCGTTCTGGCGGCAGGTATATATATACGGGTCGGACGGCAGCTACGGCTCGTTCTCGATGTCGGTATATTTTACGGGCGGCAAGTAGGTACTTTAGTTTGCGTCGTTCGCGATGTTTATCCTCAGCGGCGAAATGGTATTGGACGGCGGCGTATGCTCGGCGTTCTCAATATTCGTTTTAAATGGCACGGCAGAGGGAAACACCGTGTAACGGACGTGCAGCGGCGGCGTTAAATTGCGGCGGCGGCGGGTCGATCGTACCGGCTTGTTTGACCTGGGTTTTACTCCATATCCAAGCATGGTAGATGAAAACAACGAACGGACTTACAACGGACTTGCAACGGCGGCGGCGTTAAACTACGGCGGCGACGTTAAACTGCGGCGGCAGCGTTAAAACTACGGCAGCGGCGAGTCGATCGTACCGGCTTGTTTAACCTGGGTTTTACTCCATATCCAAGCACGGTAGATGAAAACAACGAACGGAACGGTAGCGACGACGATATTCTTACTCAACTGTTTGACCTGGGTTTTACTCCATATCCAGTTGGTAAGAATATCGTAGTATATCGAGTGGGTGTGAGTATGAGTGTGAGTGTGAATATGCTGTTCACGGGGCCTATTTATCGACTACCTCAGTTGCCACCGTGAACAGTAATGATGGCTATAGGTGTCTACGTTTTGATGATTTTGACTGTACCTAATATCGCTGAGGGTGTGTGTTTGCGTTGACGTATATTGTTGTTGGTGCGCTTCATGTTGTCATTGCAATTAGTGTCTAATAATTACTTAAAGTTTGTAATTATTGCGAAGATGTTCCCGGACATAACTTTGTGCGTGGTGCATGCTATCTAGTATCAGTATTTGGCGTTCCGGGCTGGCTACCGATACTAGATAGTTGCACATTTATATACTGGTGGCGCGTCGGTTCTCTGCGCTGTTGTGTGTGGTTCGCGTTGGTTGTTCACTGTAGGCGCTAGTGAGTATGTTATTGTAAGAAAAATGAGAGTAGGTAGTTTTGTCTCGTTACAATATATATATAAATAAATACTCGTATTTAACAGTAGGTAAATATTTATAATCCGCCCCTCCCGTTAATGTAGGCTAGATCCGCGCATGTAGTAAGGTGAATCAATATTATAAAATTACAACAAAATAACTAAAATAGTTCTTCTTGGTTTTTAATATGTAATTTCGTCCAAATTTGAACTTAAAATTACTATAAAAATAAACTGTTTTTGTATTTTTAGAATTTTGGGTAACAGAATTAACTACTTACGTGGAACTTTGTTTTAAATTTTCAATCCTTAGCTATGAAAGTTAAAGATTTTATACATTTATATATTTGCTAAATTTCGTCAAAATTCGAACTTTAAATGCTTATAAACAAAAATTGTGCAGTGGCGTAACTGGATAAAAATCTAGAGGGGGTAATACAATTAACCTCCCGTTCGGCCGTTTCTAGAGTCATAATTGCGATTTCAAGAATATAATATTATTCAACAATGATATTCATAGAAAAAAAAACCTAAAAAAATTTAAATTTAAAATTGTCCGTAAACAGCAGTGATATTTTTATGTATCTACTATAAGAAAATCGTTACATGAGAAATCTAGTGAATATCCAATGTTCTAATAATATAAACTTCAAAAAATCATAAAAATTGAATTTGACTTGCTTTTAGACATTTGATAAAGGTAGAAACACTTATGAGAAATTTTGTGTTATTTTTATGAATTTCTAACTCAAAAAAAATTTGCCCATTTTCGTGAATTTTACTTTTTTTGTCAATATTTGAATAATTTTCTTATTTATTTTTAATTAGATATTTGAAATGTACACTATAATATGTTTATTTTATCAATTTTTATACTTGATAAAATGATTAAAATATTTTGACTGTTTTGAAACATTATTAATTTTAATTTTTTTTAGTTTTTTTTTCTATACATATTTATACTTACAAGTTACAATTTTATTAATTTGATTAAATAGGTTAAAAATGTAGGTATACAAGGATTCTTACGCATTTTTACAATATCAGTTTAAAAAAATTTACAAATACACATTAAAGACTTTTTTAATAAGCATGTAAAGTACAAATTTCGACAACATTTATCAAATTGAATATTCACAAATTATTTTGTAGGGGAAATTTCTTAAATGTTAAATTTTTATAGCTAAATATTAAAAATTTCAAAAAGATTCTACATAACTAGTTCATACTGTAACCAAAAAACTAAAAAATATAGGTACAAACACATTTTTTTTTATAGTTATTTAAAGTTCAAAGTGCAAGGACGAAATTAGATATTTTAAATTTTAAACGAAGAAGATCGATTTTAGTTTGGCGTTATAAATTATAATTTGAAAATATTATTTGTAGGTTACTTGAAACTTCTAACGTATATTATTATGTACAAATATGATAATATACAAATAATATTAATTTAATTTACCATAAAATATCCTAGGCTACCGTCTCCGTTCAGAATTGATTTTTACTAAACTATTTAATTGCATAATTTTAATTTATAAATATATATATTTTTAACTAATAGCGGAGAGCTGGTAAAAAATCTGTGATTTGCCCATTTCAGCTGCAGACAAAATTGGAAACGTATGGTGTATCTATTTTTAATGATTATCTACTACAATATAACAGTATAATTTGGTCCAAAATAGCTACATATTTTAAGAATGTGGTCAAACCATCCAGCTTGTATCTCAGCTTGTATCTTTGTTTCTCAAAACCGTCATAGTATTTTGACAAATTTAAAAGCAAAGTTTGACATTGATAGTGATGAAAAAGACAAACGTTTTTATGAACTAAATCAATACAGCGTCAATTTTAACATTCATTCAAATATAAATGAAATTAGTGAAATGGAGTCGGATCATGATAGCAATAGAGAATCTGAAAATGATAAGGAAACTGAATGTGATAATTATGAACCAAAATATGTACAAAAGACGACAAGTAAAACTGTTTTTGATTTAGATATACCGTATGATACTTATTGTAAAATGAAACCAGTTTCAGTGATATAATATATAATATTATGGTAAAAACAATAGAGAGTATTAAGTCTTAAAACAAGGGGCTTGGACAAATATTATTTTCGTTCAATTTCAAAAAAAAATTAAACTACCTTGCTGTTTTGTGTTTAAGAGGTGAAGGTATTTTCATCTTCTGCCGATAATTTTTTGAAGCTATTTGCGAAATGCAAAGAAAAGTCCTGCGTAGCAGACTTTTATGCGTTTGCTAAACACCTACCAATTGAAGACGAATCCTTGCAATTAAAAGTATTTACTCTTGACACAAGAAATATACCTCACAATAGTTCATGTATGGGCCAATTAAATGAAAATAAAAGAGAGGAAATCGGAAGAGAGCTTCAAAATCAATATTGCTACTTATGGCAAAGAGAAGAAGCAAATAAAAAAAATGGAATTTGGGGATAAGGTGCCTCAAATATATATAAAACAGAAGTCTTACGGAAAGCTAAGCAGACATTCAGGGATTCAAAACTTGGAATTAACATCAAACACCAAATTATTTCACTTGTCGAACTCAAACACACTATACCATTTGCTGGATCTATACATTTAGTGAGTGCTGACCCTTTCATAGTGCACTACTGGACACCAACACAAATGGTAGTATATAAAGATGCATGTCATAGTCATAATAAATATTTCCGATTATGTATAGACGCCACAGGAAGTGTTGTAAAAAAAATTTTTAGAACGAGTCAATCATTGGAGTCAGCTCATATTTTTTTATATGTTGCTGTGTCCATAATGGAACGCTACAACTTCCCGTGAGCCAAATGCTATCAGAATCACAAGACACACCAACAATTACTTTTTGGCTAAGTCAATCTGGAGCCCCTTTTCCTACTTGAAATTGTATGCGATTATTCAAATTCCCTTATTGGGGCAATTACTAGATCGTTTTGTGGTGGAATGTCAAAAAAACAATACTGTGAAAGAAGTTTAAATATTCTAATGAAAAAAGATGTAACTTTGCCTGAAGTATATGTACTACTAGATATCGCGCATTTTACAAAAATGGTATGTCGATGGAAATGTCTGCGAATAGGTCCAATAAAAGAATTGTTTGTCCGTGCTATAATATTATTAATGCAGTGCAAGATATAAGAATAATTTAAAGATTTATTCGTAAAAATAATTGTAATTGCCTGTTCAGAAACTGATGGTCTTCAAAAAGGTTCAAAAATTGACTCTCCCGCTGAAAACTTTCGGAATGAGTTAGTAAGTATTATAGAAGATAGAGCCAATTTATACGAACATATTATTATAAACGAAAACGACGAAACCGATCAATTGGATGGTTTGGATAATTTTGAAGATAAGTATAAGCCACAGAAAGACGATCTGACAAAAGAGATGGACGTCTTCTTACAACAGTTACATTATAAAATCAATACAATTGTAAATTGCAAGGAACACGGATAAATGCATTTTATGTACCTAAACTTAAGGATCAGCTGAATAGGATCGTAAAAGATTTTCCTCTCTGGAGCAACGTTATGAGTCAATATTATAATACATATTTTATTACAGCAACTTCAGCTCCTGTCGAAAGTTATTTCAGTGATTTGAAACGAGAGCTAACCAAAGCTTTAACCCCAGACAGATTTGTTGCTTCTCATATAAAAAGTATAGAAGGTTTTATGAAAATTTGCAGAAGTAATCAAATACAAAATATGAATACTATAACACCACCAAGCATAGGATCCCCAAAACAAAAAGTTGAAAAAAATGACGACTGTAAACTAAATACAAACGTTTTAACATGTATCGATGACGTTGTTAGTGATTCATATACTTACGGCTCTAGTAGTGCATTAAGTGAATCTGATGACAACGCACAGTATGAAAACTGGAAGAACTTGGCCTATAAACCTTTTCATGATGATACAAAAAAAACAAAAACTAAGAGATGGATAAAATATAAAGAAAGTTGTCAAGATATAAAGCGTTTGCTAAACAAATCAGGCCTAAGATCAACCACTCAGCCACTAATAATAAATGGAAATTTATGCAAACCCGTTAAAATTAATAAAAATAAAGTTATTATATATAATACATGTCCATTTGATGCATTGTTGGCTTGCGTGGTTGTTGGATACATTGAATTTAATCAATACAGAGAATGTGTTAATGAAGTAGCTAAAAGTTATTCGTTTTTTAATGTATGCAAAGAAGTTGCAAATTATAGAGCTACTGACTCTATTTACGAAGAAAGAGGAAAAATTCTGTGGGAAATATTTCAACAAAAAAATGTAATTGTTGACAATATTCAATCATTACATACTGAATGTAACGTAACCTATTTATCCGAGAAACTATTGAAAATTATGCCCAGTGTTTCCGAGAAACATGTTTGTGATTCTTGTAATGTGACAAAATCATTTAACAATGTGTTGGTAATTCTCGAGATGGAAGACCGGAATAATATTAAAACTCATGGGTTCAAGAAACTTCAAGATGCAATGAAGAACTATTCTAATACTAAGTTTGATACATGTAGAACATGCTAAGAGAGAAAAATAATTTATAAAGATTTTAATGATCATCTACGAATAGAAACATATTGGTTTCAATCCTTTCAATCAAAGTCTTACACTGGTGTTCCTGTATCAGATATTCCCACTGAACTTCTACTTGCTAATAAAAAGTATTACATTTACTTATTTATAATTAAATATAAATAAATATTATACATATTCAGAAAAATACAATGTGAGGATTTAGTATGATGAATTTAATGATAGTGTAATATTAAAGTATGTGTATTGATAGTAGTTGAGAGAAAAATGTTTGTTAGGATGGGTAAGATAATGAAATAATGAACGCAGATATTAATATTAACTTTTTTTTTTACTTATACTTTTAAATATTATTTTTTCGTAGATACTGCCTATTGGCCATTATAAGTTTTGTTGGTGAGAATGATTCAACTGACTCTGTTGGGCATTACGTAACACATGCAAAAAGATCCAGATGTTACTGGGAAATACATAATGATCTTTCTAAAGAAGTAATAAGATGTCGTGATCTAGAAAAAAAGTTTGTCAAGCCACACCAAATAATTTTTAATTTAAGTGAAAATTAAAATAATATATTATACTGTTTTCCTTTCTATTCATTTCCAGTACTTTGACAAAAGTAAAAATATCATTTTATTTGTTTAATTCTTTTCATATAAAATTAGAAAGTTCCTAATTGCTTGTATTATAGTATTAATTCAAATATTCAATATATAACTGAATTTGATTTTATACTTTAATTTGGGTGTATGCTTTGTCAAAAATATTTTATACCTTAATATTGAATACGGTTACTATTCATGGTTATCTGTTATCCGTTTGGAAGCGTTTTTAATTCTTCGAGATTACTGGTAACCACTTCGGAAATCGTTTTTTTTTATTTATGTTTTTTGGAACATTTTAGTTTTTACTTTAATTTACAAATAAACAATATCAACCTTATAAAATTGTTCAGGGCAAGCTAAATTAAAATATAATAAATACATTTTATAAATATTATAATATAAATACACCTTTATGGTTGTATATTTATCATTATTATGTTTATCATTTATCATTATTGAAAAATAGTTCATGGAAAAGAGGTTAAACAACTACATTACAATATAATAAAATAAATAATAATCATATACGATATAGAAATCTTAGCTTAGTATTTATGATTCATGCTTATTACTTATTATCACGGCCTATTAATCTTTATATATATATATTTCTACTGTGCGTCTGTTTGTAATCGAACTCCTCCTAAACGGCTGGACCGATTTTGATGAAATTTTTTGTATGCGTTTGGGTGACGCCCCGGATATTTTAGATTCAAATGATAAATGCAAATCATCCCACTAGGTCCATCCTAGGGATATGCTCAAACGGGGATTCAGAGATGAACGGTGAAAATTTTTGTTTAGAAATGGTTTCCATGGGTTTTAAAACTATTATAATAATAATTATTGTGGTTGCCGTGAAATCAGTGTATTTATTCAATGCATTTAATTTTTTTGTACCCTGTGTTTTGATATTATATGTATCGAAATTACGTAAATATTGAGCGTATTATACACACATATAAGTTAAGTACATAAAACAATGCCACGTCTTCGTGGGCGAGGAGGAAATATTGGTCAACAGACTCGGCATTCACAATTAGTCCAGCCGTTTAGGAGTTCAGTGACATACTTGGTATAACTTTGATACTTTAGAGTTCAATTATAAAGTTATGTACACACATAACGGGGTCCGCGATCTAAAGCAGGTAGATTGCCTACCTGATAATATACTGCTGCGAATCAGAATTTTTATTCCTGGCTACAAAAAAGGTAAGATAAATTTTGAACACCATACGGTATACACCTAATATTAAATAACGAATTGAACAAGGTTTGAGTCATATTATATAGAGTTGGTATATTTAACGGGAAACGATTATATTGTAGAAAAAATAACAAATAAAAAAAAAATATAAATTTTAATATAACCTTAATGTTTTTGATATTTCCGATTCAGTTTAATTGACTGGTTTTAAAAAAAAGGTTACTGTTACACGTTACCCTTTAATTGAATTTTGCAGTTACCGATTATCACTTTTAAAAATTTTAACTTACACGCCAGGAAGTGGATAGCTATCACAAATTTGCAGATGTAAAATTTACGTAATTTTTTTTTTGTTATATTAATTTATCGAGGAAAATGTACTTAAATTTACCGTAAATTTGGAAATCTTGATAATTTTGGTAGGTATGTTACCATAGGAACACCCCCAGAAACTCCACTTTGCCGCATTTCCATGACCTTATACTTATGGTAAAATTTATTTTTTTTATTTACTGGATACTAAGGTGTTCAATTCGTGGTGTTCGTTGTTTTTAAATTTTTGGTAAAAAAATATTTACCTGTAAAAAAATAATTGGTAAATTTTCCGAGCTTACTTCTCTACAAATTTGGTCATGGTAAACGGTTTCCGATAAAAACCGGTTACCTGTTTTAAACCCGGGTTTTATCAAAATAATCAAAAAAATTATACCTAACTTAAAATAATTATACATATATACAGATATTAATATATTATTGAAGGAAGAAAACTTAATTTTACTGAATTACGGATTTACAATTTAATTATTACCAGACTAGTCAGCTAGGGCTTCAAACCGTTATCAAAAATGTCGATACCAGTAACTAACTAACCTATCTGGGCTAGTGTGAAGATAGCCCCCCTACTAAGTTTATTTCGGTCACAACTTTGCTCCGAGTAACTTACAAATTCCAAAAACCCACTTACATTTACTTACAAATTGAGCTTTTGAACTTACAATTTGTCCGGTGTAATTTTGATAAAATGGGGGGGGGGGCTAGTGTTAGTTAGTTACTGGTGTAATAAACACCTATATATAGTACTTGTAGTACTACCCTTTTAAAATTTTATTTACAATGTATGTATATTTATTATTATTATTATGCCATTTACATTATTGTATAACCATATTTTCTCATATTAATCTCATAAGTAATAATCAATCTAATCAATAAGTTTCGATGAACATTTCAGGGACTTTTTTAGAATAAAAATAAAACTATGGCCTAAGCCCAAGGGAGGGGGGGCCAAACACTTTGCACATTGGACTTTGATTCTTGATTACGTAACTTAATTTAAACAATAATAAATAAAATAAAAACTTTTTTTAAAATTGGTAATATTTAAATTAGTATTACATGGTTTGGATTAGAATTTTTAAAATCTAAGTTCAATGCGCCCAATAATAATCTTGTTTCGGTTTCCGAGAGCACACAATATTAGTACACGTACTCAGACACCAAATCCTTCAACAACGTCACTAACACTTAGGAACTTATAACTACAGAACAGCTGCGAGTATGCTATAGTTCGTACAGCAGTGGTCATGGTCGCCGAGCAAATACTGTAGAACTACGTGGTGCGTGTTCTAAAATATGTGTGTTAATGTGTGAAACGTGTGTGCGGTTGGACGGACAAACTAACAAATAACTAGTTCGAATTTGATGGTAACTAAATTTTTTTATTACAGTAAAAAATATATTTTAATTTAATAATCAAGCCGGCCCATCAAATAACAAATAATAGACAAGTGTATATAGGTATAATCACAGCAACATTACGGTATAACAATATATAATGATAATAATACAAAATAAAACACTCACTGATACGGCGGTGCGTGGCTGGCCAGCTGCTACCTATGCTTGTATAATTGATAATACACAATACAATATAATTTATACACAATATAATAATACGCTGGCGATTTGCACCACGACAAAAAACAATATAAATAAAAGTGGGCGATTAGCACCTTACAAAAAACAATATAAATTACTGGCGATTCGCGCCTTACAAAAACAATATAACTTACTGGCGATTCGCGCCTAGGTAGTAACAATAATAATAAAAAAAACGAAATCACTCGTTCCGTATAGACACTACGGAGCGGACTGCTGTACTCTGGCGGCCTATAGTGGGTCTTCGCGTCGACGACCGCTCGCGAATAATCTACATGTTACGTAATTTCGATAACAAAAAATAATACAAAAATAAACGATAATGATGCGTGTGTGCGTGTGTTCAGCTGTTCTGTTGTATTACTGATACTTAAGATATTTAAATTAAAATAATACGAATAATTAACTCATTCTGCGGCGGGAACAAATCTTTTTTTCCCATAAAATAAAAATATCGAAATTGAATTACTGTAATGGGTAAGCTGTGAATTTTTCATGTAAGGAATGTTTTTGATTAAAAGTCTGTTCATGGGCAAGCCCTTCTTAATAATGAATTTATTCAAATTCTTGAGATATTTTTACTATACTAGGTACTACTAATTTCTATATTTCAAATGAGTTCTCTCCTTTGACCATTTATACTGTAAATTATGTATCAGATATTTTTTCTGGAAATGTTGAAGTATCACGATCAAAGTGCGAACGAGAATTTTCAGAGTTATTTAACTTTGTGTCCTAATTTGTGACAATTGGTTCATGGCAATTTGTTTGGAAGATATGGAGGATATTTGATTTTAATTTTAGTAACCAATATTAATCTATATTCTATTAACATTTATTTTTATACAATTTGTATAGTCAAAGTAAATAATAAATACCAGATCTAATAATATTACATCTATAACATATTGCTGTAAAGTTTTTTTATGGACTATATGTCCACTCTGCTCAGAATCTAAAATTATATATTATTATTAATTACATGAATGTACTATATTTTAATAAAAATAGTTATATTTTATTGAATGCATGTATTTAAGATGCGAAAGAAGAAGAAGATACGGCTGTACGGTAAAAGGCAAAATGTTTACACGTGACGGGGCACAAATTTACACATCTCCAGGCGATGACCACTATCATGAACCTCCACCTCGCTATGCATTAGGTGTTCGACAGTTTTTTAATAGTTTGAGAGAGAAAGGTGTAGACGAAAATAGTGCACCACACATAATTGTTGATCA